AGAGGATGACCAGTGATGTGTGCCAGTGCAGAGGATGACCAGTGATGTGTGCCAGTGTTCCTTACTTCAGGAGATAGAACATGACTCCTTTGCTTTCACCTAAAAGTTGGTGGGACTCAGTCACTTCTAGGGATGGACCATGTGAAGGAAAAACTGACACTGTAGTGGAGAAGCCTGCCAAATAGCACCTCATCCAGCTGATGAAGAGTCATATCATCAGTGATGTTTTATACATGTCGTATTCTCCTTGACATGTGGTAGTGACTGTAGTCATCTCTGACAAAATGCTTAGCTTTAGTACAGTGTTCTGGGTGGACAGACGAACTGTGGTGATGTAACATAAGGTCATTAGGGGAAATTGGGCTAAGGGAAGACAGACACTGTGTACCATCTTTCAGATTTTCCATCAGTAGAAAGTGATTCCAGAAACAAAATTTGAATATTTGGCTTATTTTAGAAAGCAGCTTTTGGGCCGTTTTTGTTTGATTTGAGACAAAAGTTTCCTTGAGTAGTCTTGGCTGCCCTAGAACTCACTATACAGATCAGGCTTGCCTCAGACTCCCTCGTACATACCTAGTGCAGGGATTAGAAGCATGCCCCACCACACCTGCCTGGTCACCTTTCTTGATTTGTGAAATCCAGTATTGAAAAGAATAGAAACAATTTTAGTATCAACCATGCATTTTTAGTCAACATGCCTCATTTTAATATTTCTCATAAAATGGATTAATATATAGTGGTATCAGTTTTGTGTTTACAGTGAGTTCTTTTATTTGCAAACCATAGCTCATTTATATGTAAAACTTAGTGGCCATTGAAATGTCACATTCATTCTGAAACTCTGAAACTGTAGACTAAGGTTAATGAGGTAAAAACAAATAGCTGTTCTGAAGGGGGAAATGTTAATCCTTTAGTAGATTATTTTGAGAGTCTGCGTTATGATTTCTTGAGGGATTATAATTTGGAAATTACTTGTTTTGATACTGTGTTAGATCAAAATATAGCATTTTTGGAACTTAAATTTTAATAGCATTATCAGTTAAAATAACATAAAACTAATCTAGTAGAATAAAGGAATACTTTAAAGCAATTTAAAATGCAGTCTTCAGTTGTATTCTCTATGAACAATGAATCTAAGTAAGTTTCATATAAGTTTCTATCACTTCTTTTCTAGATTTGCTGTCTAGGATCGATTTGGATGAACTCATGAAAAAGGACGAGCCACCTCTTGATTTTCCTGACACACTGGAAGGATTTGAATATGCCTTTAATGAAAGTAAGTGCTATATATTATACATACATATATGCGTATGTATAATTTACTTCACAGTGTTTATAGAATCACAGGAAGCATATTACTCTTGAATATCTAACTAGAATATTGCAGGATTTTTGGGAGATTATGACTTATCTTTGCATAGTAAAATCCTTCACTCCAGTGAAAGAATCAGGGAACAGTTTTCTCTAGTTAGCAAGCCACATAAATTAATAGACATAAATTTGACTTAGTTTATACATTTCAACTTTGAGCATTCTCCTCTGATATCTAACTGAAAACTCCTAATTGAATTACATAGAAAGGTACATTCTTTAGCTGGCTGTTTGAAATGAGATGACTGGCAGTCGTTATATGGAGCAGTATTTTAAAGCAGAGTACCCAGGATTCCATTATTCTTCAGGGAAATATTTGTTTAAAATCTTTTTAAGTTTGGGATAAAATAACCTTTATACCTGAGTTGTTGGAAAAGGCATCATACACCCACCATACACTATTATCTTTGAAGGCTTTTGCTGTTGTGGGCAGGTAGCATGAAGTTGTCATTTCCATCTGTTGCGTTATAGCTCTAAATTGGTGATCACTCATCACTGTTCTTGCGAGACCCCTTTATAGTGTCCCCCCTTGCACTCATAGATGTAAGGGGCTTCTTCTGCCCATGTGTTCTTGAGTGCTCAGTGAGTTTAAAGAGAAGACAATAGAAACTTTGATCACTTTCAGATATTATTTTTTTTATAAAAAATGCTTTATGACAAAACATGTATAAATAGTATTATTTTGCCTGTTGAGGGGAAGGATTAAAGCAATTGGCCAGTGGGCTGTTTGTCTTCTGATTATCAGAATTTTTCTGTCGAAAGCAAGGGGGATGGTGGTCTGTCTTTTTTCATTGTAAATAGACTGAATTAAACCTTTTAGTAAATAGAGACCAATGTTTTCCACGAGGAGTTTTTTATGGACAACTATGATATAGATGTTTGATTGAGCATTGCTCCTGTTAAACAAACCTATTTTTTGATAGATGAGGCACATTTCAATGAAGAAACACAGCACTTTAATTCTTTAACACAGAGAATGGGACTGTTATGACGAAATACTTACTGGTGTGTGAGGAGCCCTATTTGAACCTTATTTGCCTGGGTCAGGTAACCCAGTCCAGTGAGAGAGAAATGTGGGTAGAGGGATAGCCTGGACGTCCTGGGCTCACGCCGCTTTACCTGTTGTAGCTTGAATGCATGCAGGTCCCGGCGCTGTTAATAAAGCTTATTAATCTTCATCAGGGAAGCCCTGTGATTGGAGGGAGCCTGATTGGATAGTTTAAGCTGGTGTTAGCTCTCCTCCTCCTCCTCCTCTTCAGTCTCCATTAATAGCTTCTCTTCGGGCCTAGTAGAAAAGTGTTACTCAGAGTTCTGAACCCCATACTCTAGGTAACCCCACAGTGCATTATGTCCCCACATCATTCTAGACCTTATTGTCCGTATACATAACAGATGGCAGCTTTACACTGCTGACTTTCTTTGATTCTTGTCTAACTTTCTGAAAAGTTGCTTAGATTTTCAACATTTGTACTTAGGTGGCCTCTAAACTTCTTCAAGCCTGGACCATGCTTATGGCATTGTCTGGTAGCAGTTCTTATCCATAGTGCCCTTAAAGTAGTGTCAGTTTACTTGAAAATATTGAGATGAAGATGAGGACTAGGGACCATTCTTTTATACTGTTAATAGGTTTATGTCATATTGGCATTTGAAGACAAAAATTTAGGGAGAAAGCAAGTATTTAAGACAGTTTTTTTTTTTTTTTTTTTTTTTGGTTTTTCGAGACAGGGTTT